GCACGAAATTGCCAAATTATTTAGATTTGGCATCAAAAGAGGCGATGCGGTGGGCTGCAGCCATATTGTCAAATGAGCAATAAAAAGTGTCTTTTATGACCCATATGACAGACGGTATTCCATAGATATTTGCATAACTTTGAAGGTATCAGCATCAGCAGGTAGAAAAGTAATGGGGAAAGGGAAATTCAGTGGGTTTTTTTATAAATTGCTTTTTTATTGAAATAAACAAAAGCCAGGCGACAGCTTTAAGCTGAAGTGCTCACCTTAAATTTTCGCTTGGCAAAAGAATAATACGAGCTAAGGAAACTTCTTCAGAGATTACATGAAGATTACTCGCATTTGGCTATATCCGCAGTATGTACATATCTAAGCTGACATAAATTTCGAAAGAAGAGAATTATTTTGTTACGCCATTTGGAGGCGTCGCCAAAGAAGTTTGCCGCATTCCATTTTGCCTGTTGATAAATAAATATGACAACAAAACGTTCGCCCAAGATAAATGTGTGTGCAAAGACGACAACGAACTGAGGTAACGAAGGGATAAGTCGGAAAGAGATTGGAAATTAAATGTCAAGTATAGTAACATATGATAAATTATAATTTCTTGAAGGGAAATAAATTCAGCAATTTAGGCTTGAATTTGATTATTTTTTAGAGAAGGATTCATTTTTGACCCTTAAAACCATATATATTATTGATCAGCCTTGTCCCGAGAAAAAAATACATTTTTGAAATTTTTTCAATATTTTTTTAACATTTAAAATTGTTAAAATTTGACAAAAAATTGATTGTTTGAAATTCAAAAACTCAGTATACAGATTTATTTGCCATATAAAAACTAGCACAGAAAAGTTATCCGAAATGAAATCAAACCATTTTTACCTTAGTTATGAAATTTAAAAAAATATTGATTTACCCTAAAATAAACTCCTAAAAATATCGATTTCTTATAACTAGGATACACATATCATAGGTTTTCTTAATGGTATACAAAGTCCAAATTTGTATTATGATGTATATTATGATTTAAGTGTATTTTGTGTATAAACTTACTTCCAATACCTTACCAAAAGCCAAGAAGACAAACCCCTCGAAATCGCATTCTAAACTTGGCATATTTGCATAAAGAACTGAACTGCAATTTGCTCCCTGACACCGAAACATAAACAACAAGCTCGCCCATGGGACAGGTAAAAAATTGAGGCACATTTGTGTGAGAGTGCAGATGCGATTCGTATTTGATATTTCATATTTTTGCATGCATATAAACATAATTATAATGCAGCCAGAGAACAAGAAGTACGTGCAAAAGCCTCTTACATCACCGATATTCGAGGACAATGGCTTTTAAAGTGAGGTGAAACAATAGAAATTAAATGGAATATGGGGCATAAGGAGTAGATATATTTTTGGAAAATATATTTAAAATTTGTTCAATGTTTTTTAAAAGCTAAGAAATAGTTGTGAGATAATTATGATAATATAATATTTATAATTGATCAATTATATTAAATACTACATGTATTTCCCTCTCTATTATTTACCATTTCTTTCAAGGACACTTTTAATATCTCACTTTCACTTTGATCAAAACCAATTTCCAATCCAATTTCACGCTAAGTCCAATACACCCGTTCCACCCATAGCCAGGGTATCTCTATACATATCTAGGAACAACAATCAACTGCAATCAAAATAGAAAAGCCGCACAATTTTCTCTGGCATGCGGCACATGATGCAACATTTCCATAATTTTCCCTTCACCGACCAAACAGCACGTTTTTCCATCAGTTCGCTGTGCATTGTTGTAAATGTTTTACATGCCAAATTATGCAAAAATACAATACGCCATACATATTCAAATACTTTTCGGAAAGTTCCATAAATACACAGACATTGATCCCCTCTTACTTGTTCGGCTTTCCCATTCTCTTTCCCCATTTCCCATCGATTTGGAATATTTGAATTTTTAGAATTTGCCTGTCAAAGTCCAATAATGACATGTCACGCTGTTTTCCCTTTTCTCTCCTCTTACCTCTCTCTCAGCCTGTCGATTTATTTATGCTGTTATTTGCGGAATTTTCACTGGTTTTCAGCTGACGCTATTTTGCATGGGGTACAAGGTCAACGGTGTTGCACACAGTTGATGTGGATTTCATGGGAATTAAGTTTGATTTGATAAAGGTCATGTTCTGTGTCCATTTCTCCACTTTCTCCTCTCTCTGTGTTTATTTCCGATGATCTGATAACGGAATTTGCAATTATGACAAAACGTAAATGGTTTAAAGTATTTTTTGAGTGATGGAATTGAGGAAAATGGGGAAAAGTGGCGCCTGGAAAATCGGATAAATTGATTGGGTCTGCATATTGGCATTGATAGATTTGCGTCATGTGGTTTTTCTATCACATTTTCAATGGAAAACCGGAATGGCACATATTTGAGTGAAAGGCTAAAGCAAACATTTCAGGGAAGGTATAAGATACTGTTGAGAAATTTTAATCTAAATATAAAAGTTTAAACTAAGATTAAAGTTGATCGTTTGCTTTATTTATATTGCTGGTATTTTAATGTTTAATTAATAAAAAAAGGAAGAAACTTGACTGTCTAAGGAATCCTAACCCTTTCTTTAAATTATCTTTCCAAAAACTTTCCCTAATGCAATTACACAATCTAACCGAAAAAGTCAAAATTTATTTGTTTGTTTATATTCCTTTTTCACACCTTCATCTCCAAAATGCAAGCTTTCACTTCGTATCCTGATTATTATTCCACGAAAATAAGCAAAGAAGCTGGCCTATGTTGAGTAGTTTTTGGTACTCCTGGCCACAGGATAACATCTGTCCCATCGAAACCATCCTATTCGACAGACAATTCTGATGCGCTTGGGGTTCCTCCTGGATTTTCTGGTCCTTTTGTATACCCATTCGCTTTGGCTGGCCAAAAGACCATTAAAAATATTTTTTCTGCCCATTCAGCATTCAATAGAAATTTACATCACGTCGGAAATTTTTACATACGCATGTATGTGGGTGTCGTGTCCTCTGCTAAAAGGACATTTTGTGACGGCCAGAAAATGGGGGAGTAAGGATGAAGGGGAACCCCTCGTTGGCGAGTGTCGCGTTGAGCATACTAACACTTTTTTGTATGTTTGCTTGGCTTAGGTTTTCACCTGACAAAAAAAGCATCAGGGGTTGAATTGTGGCAGCCTCAAAGTAACGATAATAAAAGCCAGGAAGAAAAAAGTCGACCGACCTGTGGCAGGAAACTATATATATTGCCACATAGGCAATTTCATTGTGCGATATATATATATGTGTATATATTCAGACAGATATTCCTGGGGACCCTTGGCAAATTGGTTTACCCTTTTCACGGGATTTTAGTTGGCCTCAAACACAGAGAAAAAAAAATGTACAAGTTGTAGTTCGAGAACTACTTTTATTTTCTACAACTTGAGCTGAAAATATGTTCTTAGAAGCAATTTTAATATATAATATAATATAATAATAAATAATATAATATAATAATATAATATTTATAATATAATAATATAATATATTATATTATCACTTTCTTGAAAACCCAATATTTAGTAATTTTTTATACTCCCAAAAAGTAATTCCTGCTCTCAATTAGTTGGCCCGCCCCTAAGGTAAGTTGGTAAAGGGGGCGTGTCTCTAGTGGGAGTTGCACAATTTGCTAATTACCGCAATCAAAGTTGCCTCGTTGGCCAAGAACGAACAGCTTCAAAAGCACAAAACTGATAAATTATAAATTAAAGAGAATCTCTGGGAGAAGTTGTTGCCTCCTTCATCTCTATCTTTAGTTTACAGAGCCAACAGTTTTTGGGGTTCCCCTAGAGTTTTTTTTTCTTTTTTTTTTAATTTCTCTTGTGTTTCTGCATAATTTACGAGTTAAACTCGCTGCCGATATTTCAATTACTCTACAGCATCGTAGAGGAGCCTCTTTTCAGCATTCCAGAAGCAATTTCAATTGAGCTTAGTGCTCGTGGAGTACGCTCTCTGGTAGGCGGTTTTTTGTGTCTCAAGGCGAAATTAGTGGCCAGAACTGTGGCAGATTACAGGCCAGGAGGCCAAAAGCGAACTTCAAACAATTATTTGCCCAGCTGGGGCTGGCTTTTAATTTGCTTAGCCCCATGCCCCATGAATAATGCAGTACAAAAGAACCCGGGGACCGAGATGAATTTTGTATAATTGCAGGGCGCACAAATTTCGCTTAGAATCTCTCTCTTTTTCTCCCCGGGCCCAGATAATTGCCGTGGGAGAAAATGGGGGAGGGGGAGAGAGGACAACGAAAAGTTAAATGTAAATTAAGCACTTTCCTTTTTCTTTACTGCAGTAAAATGTAAGTTTTTATCTTATTCTTAAGTTAAATATTCACCTGCTACAACAGAACCAAAGTGAATTAATATGCTGGTAAAGGCAAGGAAGCGGAAAAATAGGGCGTTAGTGGAAGCGTTCAAGACATCCTTTAGATTATTTTCTATACTATATAATATATCCATTTTCTATAGAATCTATTGCAAGCACACTCTATTGCCATTGAATTGATTAAGCTTTCATTTCAAGGCTGTAAATTCGAGTCCTGTTTTGGAGGCCTCAACGCATCGATTAATTATGGCTGTCAGCATGTAAATTGCGCTAAATTATTATTATCAATGCTGTTGCCCTCGATGACAAACATTCAATATCGCGAATGTGTCAGGCTCGACTGACAACGCGGATACAGATATGTTTGTGTGTATGGAAGCCGCTGGAGCGGAGCGACCAAATTGCAATTGTGATATTGACAATAATGCAATCAAATAATCAATCAATTAATGTCTGCCTGAATTAATGTTTGAATATTATGTGCCATCGTCAATGCCATCATTAGCACTAAATTCAATTATGTCGCAGGACGCAGGATGCGCGCGGTATTCGCATCCGATGATTCATCATTGTTAGGCAACTTTTTTTTGTCGGTTTGTTAACATCCCAGAAGCCCCTGGCCCAAACATCACTCACAGCAATTTTTGTTTTATTTATTTTTGTTGCTTGGAATGTTTGAAAATTAGTGGCTCAAATTCAGATCCCTTGGAAATTATGCTATGGCGAGAGCACCTGGAGTTAAGGAAAAACTGAACATAATTGTTGGCGGCGGCATTTGTGATGTCTATCGCGATGGCTTCAATTTCGGATCCTTTTCCTTCTGGAGTGGCCTTATCGCATTGGCTGCCTTTTGCTGTTTTCTGGCCTATTTCCATATGAACAGAGATCGAATAAATCAAATGGGATGAACGCCATAGATTGGAAATAAAACTTGTACGGATAGGGAGATCAATAAAATGATATTTGAGCCGGTACATTTTCAGCTTTTTTTTATTATTTCATATTTTTTTATTTATTTTATTAATAATATGGTTTTGGGGAAATATAATGTAAGAATTTATAGTTAAAAGTACTAAAAGTAACAGTTTATGATTTTTTTTATATCTTCCTCAGTTAAATTTAAAGTACGAATACCTTGCTTTCTAAGAACTGTTTACTCCATCAATTTTTATTTATTTTTTTATGCATCCGCTTAACTTTTCTGAAATTTCTTCTTAATTCCTGGATAAATCTGAACATATATATAGGGTCTCCCCTTTGTATATATCCCAGGACTTGACTTGCCCCAAAAAGTATGCTATGTCACTTGCAACTCGGTCGATATATTTGATGTGACTCACCTCTCTTCCTCTCTCAACACGTAAATAATAATTTTCAACTTTATTTGATTTATGCATCATTCACGCGCAATTTATCGAAAGAATTACGCATAAGGTCAGTGCAAAAAAAAACGCCAACGATTCATTATTCACTCTTTTTTTTAACCCTTTGGGTTAAGGGAGAGTGTGCAAGGATGCCTTGTTATTGGGTAGTTTATAATGCAGTAAAATATAACTGATTTTCAATGTTGTTTACTCAACTTACATGCTTTTTGATTTACGTGTGTGTGTGTGTGTGTGTACTGCACATATGTATATATGTGTGTGTAATGCATTTGTATGTATATGCACATATATCAATAGCAGCTGGCAACAACAAGTGCAAACAACAATAATAAAGAGGCTGACAGGCAGGCAAGCGTAAGCCAATGCCTGTTTATATATTTACTTAACTTTCATGGGCCCTGCCTTTACCACAACGCAAGTGTATTTGTTTAATACACCCATACAGCAGGGTATACGATTCTAGGACTAGAAAATATCATTATTTTATCTTGAAAATTTTATTTATAATTCCATAAATTATTTATTATAAAGTGAATGTGGTTTTACAGGAATTTCTTAATACATAAAGAAGTAAATAGTTGTGCAGTTTCATTATAATATTTTTAGATTTACTAAAATTTTAATATAATAATGATCATTTCTGATTATATAAATCTTTTTTGTGATATATAATTTAGTTTAATAAGCAGCTCTTAGTTATATCATTACTTCATCTATTAAGTTGTGAGAAATTAGCTAAATTGACAATTTAAACAATAATTCCTATTAATTTGGCCACAACTTTGCATGCGTCAAATTTGCATAATTTCATGCACAACTGTACCAGAGGGAAAATGAGTGACATGGCGGGGTCCTGGAGGAAGGCAATGCCAAAGGAGCGTTGGATAAATATTTGCATATGTCACAAGCACAAAGCCAAAGAGGGCGTGGAATCATCACACAGTTTGAGTGATGTCCACCAGAAACATGCGTTTATTTTTTGTGTCGGAATATCAATGTTTGATTGATCAACAAATTACAGCATTTAAAGTGACTTTTGCCAGTGATATGGCAAATTGGCAGGTAACATAATGAAAATAAATTAATTATTTAAATGCAAAATGGTTATCTGTCAGCAGCTGTTTAAAGTATTCACTTTAAACTTTGAATATAGCTTGAAGGTTCCTTAAAGTTCTTGCTTCTTGTTTCACATTTTCTTTTTCATTTACCTTGCATATTTCGGTGCACCTAGAAACATTCATCGATTGGCCATATTTCTTGTTATTTTATTGCTTCTTTCTGCCCTGTGCGTTTCATCTTTCATACGCACTCGATATTCAGGCAATTCACTGAAAGTGCCATCATCATTCCTTCCATATGCAAAAGCCAAATAACATTCTTGGTTTTTCTCCATTTTCCACTGTATTTTCTGCCGTCTCCGGTTTTCATTTCCCTACCATCGTTTGGTCTCTGTCAGCTTTTGTTAAAGGCTTGTGGGTCGACTCCTGCTGTTGCAACTTCAGTTGATGCTGCCACCGTCAAGTCGCTGGGACTAGAGACTTGAGAAGCCGCAGGATACTGGACCGTATCCTCTAAATTTTACACTTTACAAAAGGATTTATTTGAGAAATCATATTAGGTCCTTTAAAACTGAACTATGCATGGGTTTACCTACTTTTTATAGAAGTTATTTATGAGTTGCTTAGTATTTTATAATATTAAAACATTTTTAATTCAATCTTGTATGCTTGATATGATTTCTAAGTTCTAGATTTCCTTTTCTTGAGTGTAGTCCTTTGCTGTCCTTGCTAATGAAACAAAAACAGACAAGTTAATGTACAGTTGATGTACCATCTAATGGTTCTCATTGCCACGCCCTCATTTGGTTATCCTTCCCATCCCAATCCTCACCCCCGCTGAGATTTGCATAAAAAGCTGGCGAAGCTGACCGTGCTAATTGAGTGAGTAAGCGGTTGCCGGTTGGCTAAAACTTTTCGACATTCTAATGCCATTGTCAAGCTGCTTCTTTGCTTCGCTGCTGGAACTAGTTAACATTTCCGTTTTCCCAAAGCCATCACAGTTTCAGCATCGCCCACTTACCTTTTGCTGGTAGTTCTCATGAATATGCCTTTTATAAATAATTCAAGCGCATTTAGTGATAGCTCGGCCTAAGCCCTTGTGCAGAGTTCCAGTTTCATTTGTGGAGCAAAATTAACAGAGCGCATTGAGTGGCCATTTCACCCGATTTCGGAGACAAAGGATACCCGGCCCCCCGCCTCCGTAAGTCAAATGTCGCAGGACGATGAGAAAAGGACCCAGAGGTAGTGGAGACTCGGGTGAAGGCGGCACAAGAAATTGACGGAAGTCGAGACCTCTCTTTCTAAATGCAAAAACTAACGGGGGTGGTTTCAAAAGTTAATTTGCTAAGTTGATTTAAAATGGTTAAGAAGTCTATCAAAGCATTTTATAATAAATATAAATGTAACAAAATTGAAAAAGCAGTTAATATGCTTTTTTAATTCTAAAATTCTTTTTAATAGTTTAAAATCAGTAAATTACTCATTTCTAAATGAGTTATTGCAGCAATTAAAATAATCAAATTTCACTTTATCATTAAACTAGTTTTAAAATAATTTAAGGCTATTTCAAACTTAAAAATAATATTAAAAAACCTTCAAGGCCTCTGCTATATTTTTCAACCTACCCTCTCTCTGCCTTTCCTAGAATCATATTTGTCGACATTCCTTTCAAAATCAGCTTTTACATGTTCCTTGTAATTATTCAAGCATTATTTATTGCAAAGCCAGCTGCTCACCTCCTACCCTCTTTCCTGTTTTAGTTCTGTTTTATGGAACCTACTCCTGGACTTCCTTTCTGCTTGCCTTACAAAAGTGTTGCCTACTTTGCAGGGCATTTATAAATTACCAGCTCAAAGGGCATTAACAACGAGTACGAACGAACGAACGACAAGGACAACAAATCCAAACAAAATAACACAATTTACAGTTAATCTAAATTGTTTTGGCTTTTTATTAGCCGCACCAGCAAAGAGGAAATAAGTTTTTTGTGGCTGCTGCAACCGAACTTGATAAAACTTGAGCAGAGAGACAGATGGAGATGGGGAATGGGAGAAAAGCTGGGATGCTGGGGGGTGGGTGGTACATGATATAGCAACAGCAAAAGTGACTTTATTATAATTTTCAACTTTTGATTTACTGCAGGGCCTCCCACTCCCACTCCCACAACCATACCACCCACCCAAAATGGCAGGCAGCACAAAAGCCAAACAAAATGAGGCTAATTTTTACACTCGCACACACACACACACAGTCAGACAGACGCAACAATGGCGAAAGAGATAGCAAGTCGCACACATTGCTAAAGTTTTTTAACATAAGAAAACAAGAGCAACTCAAGAAAGACACAAAAAAAAGCTCAAAGAACTGGCAAAGATTTCACAAAATTACAACAATAAAAGCGAGCAATAAAATTAAGCATTGTAATATGGCGACAAAAAGCCACAAGAAGCAAAATGAATTTTACAGAATTAAAGTTGAAGTATTTTTTTACAACAAGATTACATAAAGAATTTTTGAAGAAAAGAGAAGCCAATAAGTTACATCAATCAAAGCCAAGATTACATCAATCGTTACAAGAAACTTATGTTTCAAATCAAAATCTCCACCAAACAGTTCATATTTAATTCAATTAGTGACACAAATGCCTCAATTTCAAGGGATTTACTGTTCAATAATACGAACAAACGGCTTTAAGTTGAATTCTTATATGTAAAGGACATGAAGGCAACCCCTTTGAGTCGAAAGGGTTCGGGGTTATATTCGCACTACCTTGGCAAATGTAGCACGTTCCATAATTGCAAATCAATGAGCTGCTACTGAGGCATACAATGGCATCGCTGATTATGACGATGGCATAACGATGATTACGCCAATTGTCCCTCTAAGCTTCCTCCGTCCACCCCTACTCCTCCTGTGGCCACGCCACAGGATGTGTATATGTATATGTGTGTATAGCATTTTAATAAATTACGTGACAAACTGCAATACTATATATCTCTACCTCGCTAAAGCCACCTTTTGACAGATGTACACTGGAAATGTAATGGGATTTAATTTATAATTTGATCAGATATATTATATAAATTTATTAAGAAATTTATATTCATTTTGAAGCTTTTCAACGATTTAAGTAAAAGTAATAATAAATACTATTTTATACATAAAATTATTTAGTAAAGTTTTACCCTTTTGTCAGAATTGGAATAATTAAAAGAACAAAAAAATTATGCCAGACATTCCAGTCGTTGCTGAAAATCACTCTAAATGAATAAAATATATATAAGGTAGTAAAAAATGGTAATTTCTTTTGGTAACACTATTTAAACAATATGTTTTTAATATTATATATTCAAAGGGATAAATGAAATAACAAAGAATATGTTTAAAAGGCTTTCCAATCTTGTGAAATTATGAAAGTAATAATATCATTAATAATGTACCTCCATAAAGTTTAGTACTATCAAAAGAAGTCATAAAATGAGATATATTATTAAGATTTAATGAATAAAGTTTGTAGTTTATGAGGAATAT